AGTGCAAAACTCAAAATGAGAGGATAGAGACAATCAAGTAAATACAAAAGTGATGTATTCATTCATTCTGTGAAAGAAATATGGTGAGATTTTAAAAAAAAATACAATAATATAGATTAAAGTGTGATTTTTTTTTTTTTTTTTATCATGCAATTAAAATGTGAACTTTTTTAATCAACTTGAACCACAGTAGTTTCTATAGTACCTACAACAGTTGTCAGCATTGGATGTAAGCGAACCTCTGTGTGGAACATATAGGTTAGACTGCATTCTCTAGATGTGCAGCTATGTTTAGCACCATTTCAGCAGCCATGGATACATTTTCCATTGATATTGAAGCCTTATGTTGGCTTACTCTAAGCTTGATTTTTATTTTTTAAATCTGTTTTATACATAATAAACTAGTAAGATGCAGCAAAAGTTATTCCTCAGGCCATATATATTTCAGCAATAAAGTGAATCAAATGTTAAATTTGTTAGAATTAAACTGTCTTGTTTTTGTTATAGTCCAAGAAGTCTCTTCTGATAGGTTTTTTTTTTTATGTGAACAACTGTTGAAATTCAGCTATAGACAATTTAAAGAGAGAGACTAAAATCACTATATAAGAAACAATATATTTGAATTTACTGTGATTGAGGAGGCTCAGAATAAAGCTGCATACAGATGTTAATTTCTACCAGTGGAAATTTCTGAGAAATTTGCCTGGTAGAAACACTTCCAGGAGAGGGAGCAGTATAGACATTCAGTCTGTAGCCATCCCCTCTCCCCTGCTCTCCATGCCTTCCCAAGATGAGGGTGACCCCCCAGACTGGGGAAGGTAATGGAAACAGTGGGGCTAGAACCCCCACCCCACCCCCTGTCCCAGACTGGACTCTGGTGAACAGGGTGCGGGACCAGTTTCCAGGGTGGTGGGAGCACTGTGGCAGAGCCCAGCTTAAGAGCAGTGGTGCCTGCTCCTGCCCCCACTTCCAGATCAGTAGGAGAGGGGAAGGGAGTTAGACAGAGCCCCTTTCCCAAACTGGGCACTTTTGTGGCTTGGTCTAGTGTGGGAGGGGAGAGGAGCAGTGGGGCAAAGTTCAGGGAAAGTGCCCCTGGGAGAAACTTAACCATGGTTGTTCCCAGGTAATTTTTCTCCCAGAGCAGCTGTTTTGGCTCTGGGGAAAAAAAGCCTGAATGTCTGTATACTTCTGGTTCCTACCCAGAGAACAGCAGTTCTGGAAGAAACTGAACATCTGTACATAGCCTTAGAAGAATCCCTGTTCATATTTGGGTTTGGCAGTGACGAGGCATAGTAATATTAACTTAGAGCTATGTGGAGAAGAGGATTTTGGTTTCATGGGAGATTTAAATACTGTATTTACTTGAATACAAGACAAGACTTTTTTCCCCAATCAGCGAGGGGGGGGAAGTGCCTCCTCCTATAAATGCATACAAAGAAACCTCACTAAATGCATTGTCTATCATTAAACTACTGCCAAAAGCAGCAAATGCTTAGAAACGGAAACCAGTTATGAAGCCGATTTAAATGCAGCCAACACTGAGCATGCCTATAAAACACATGCACTGCTCTCACCTCCTCCTACCACCAGGCATTTCTGCGATGCGCCGTGACTCTTCCCTGGAGGGGAGGTGGGGTGGGAGGCAGCTCAGGCAGCATGAGGGGATTGATGGCCAGGCCATGGTGGTGGACAAGCGGGAAGTAAAGGCAGTACAGTCCCCTCCCCTTGCCCCCTGCTCTGTTACTTCTCATGCTGCTGGTGATGAAGCTGGTGTGGGGGTCCTGGTGGCAGCAGTGGCAATGAGTCTTGCCACCCTGCTCTGCCCTCCTGCTGGGCCACGGAAGCAGCTCCTGTCCATGCTGGTCTGGCCATGCTGTAGCCCTGTGCCCCATTATGGGTGCACAAATTTGGGGGAACATGTGCCCCCCCATTCCCTCTAGATGCGTTGCCTGTGGCATCCCCACAGCTACCCCTCCCGGCTTCCACCCCACGTTGGGGGTATGGGGGTAGCAGGTTGGGAGTGAGGAGCACTAGCAGGATTAAGCGGGGTGGGGGCTGCAGGTCAGGAGTGAGGGGCACCAGCAGGGACAGGGGAAGGTGGGTTGGGGGGAACTATGGCTTGGGAGTGAAGGGCACTTGTATATCAGGGCTGCTAACTGCCACAGAGCAAAGGTAGGGAGGGCGGACAACTGCAAGCTAAACTTGCATCCTGGTTAGTGAAGGAGAAAGGAGGAGCTCTGATTTTCTATGATAAAAAAACCAAATGCCAACTTATATAGATATTTAGAAATTATTTTATTATGATTGAGGCACTGGTAGGCTTCCAGATTGGTTTAAAATTGTAAATATATCAATAAAAATGTGCTCAACTGATACCTGTATATATAGTGGCACTTCATTTCAACTGTGGAAACGTGCATTTTGAAGGGGGTTTAATCTGATTTTTTTTTTTTTCTTAATTGGAGAATTTGCAAATTTTAAACCGAGAACACCAGGTTCCCTGAATCAGGCATAGTTTGTATTATATATAAATAGGTACAAAACTGCTAAAACTTGCAGCAGTTTCAAGAAAAGGTAAAATGCATCAATTGTGGCTGAACAAAGTCTATGGGTACCTGTAGTAATTTGCTTATATGCAAATTTTGTCCCTCACTTCCATGTGCTCAGGTAGAGCAGGGTCCATCAGGGGCAAGAAGTTGGGTGGGGAGCAGAGGACAAAGAGGCTACCTGACCCCCCCAGATTTTTTTTTCCTGCTGTATCAGTGGGAGGGGGGACAAATTCAAGGTAGACCTCCAGTAATTAGATCCTTTACCTAGAAAAATATATTTAAATATATACATTTTCCATACATAAAATCTTGTTATTAAAGTTTGTGTTATATTCAGGGTCATCTTATTTTTGAGTGAATATGGTATTTTGGAGCAAACACTAGCTCTTTTGAAATTCTGTGAAAGGAAAAGCAGTCCATCTGAGTTACATGAGTCAAAAAGTAATATTGATGCTGATTTATTTTCCCTTTTCATTTTTTATATGTAGGTTCCCATAACCCATTTCTACATTTAGGTGACTGTTTGGAGTGTCTGTTTTAAATGAATAACTTGGATTTTGGTGTCCCTGATCTTGGCAGTGGGCCCTATCCTCAAATTATCATCTCCTTTATGAGCCCTGTTAGCCATACAGCATGGCTTCAGGTTGGATCCTGCCCGTGGTCTACAAGTTCGGCATTCCTGCTATAAGATACTTGACCAGAATTAACATTATCAGTGCTTTTGAAAACACAGCAATTTTCTGAAATTTCTCTAATAATACCTTAAGAGAATAAAAATGTATGTATTATTCTCTTTTTCTTAGGTTGCTGAAGTCTTGCAAATGCCTCCCATGAGAGTGTATGAAGTTGCAACTTTCTATACAATGTATAATCGTAAGCCTGTTGGAAAATACCACATTCAGATCTGCACGACTACACCTTGTATGTTGAGAGACTCTGACGGCATATTAGAGGCCATTAAGAAGAAACTTGGTATGATACAAATGACATTTTATATTTTCTAAAATTGTGTTTTTACAAACAGTGCTACAAATTTTCAGTGCCTGCAAATTTGATATTTCACTGTTCAAATAATATCTTTCAAAATGAGGAATTTATGTGGTGGTGGTGATGCAAAAAGTAAATACAGTTGCTTTTTAAGTTTATTTATAAACTTGTTTATCCTTATTATTTATTGCAAGATAATCTTATTTATTCATATATATTTGTAAGAATAAATTTGGAATTTATGACTTTTAGATTTGGAACAATAATGAGTAAATGGATTTAACAGCACTATAAGGTAATGGTGCTGAGAGGACAAAGAAAATATTTCTCTGGAGTGATCCCTCTTGATTTTATAGACAGCTTGAGAGAGAAGGAGTTTTGGTTTTAGAATTAAAAGGTGAACCATGGGAACTTTGGAAAATTTAGGGTGTCCCATCCCACTAATATTGAAGCATGCTCCTCTGTCAGGTGGTGTCAAAAATCTATAGCAAAAAAATGGACGCCCTTATCACATTTTTAAAAAATATATCTCTGCATTTGTTATCTCCAACATAGCTGTTTAAGAAATAAGTACTATTTGAATAAACTTGAAATCAAAGATCGCCCTTCTCAAAATTATGAGTAAAATGGGCTAAGTTCCATTATAATAAGGATTTCAATGTGATGACCTGTATTTTTGGTCCCTCCCTCCCCTCCCCCCAGTAATTACTTTCATCATTCTTTAGACTGATAGGCCTAATATTGCAACACATGGATTTTTATAGTTTCATAGTTGATAGGGTCGGAAGGGACCTGAGCAGATTATCAAGTCTGACCCCTTGCCATGGGCAGGAAAGAATGCTGGGGTCAAACGACCCCGGCAAGGTGTTCATCTAGCCTCCTCTTAAAGACCCCCAGGGTAGGAGCCAGCACCACTTCTCTTGGAAGTTGGTTCCAGATCCTAGCCACCCTGACAGCGAAGTAGCGCCTCCTGATGTCTAGCCTAAATCTACCCTCTGCCAGCTTGTGACCATTATTTCTAGTCGCTCCTGGCAGTGTTCGGGGGAACAGGGACTCCCCCAATGCCTGCTGGTCCCCCCTGACTGGTTTGTAAATGGCCGCTAGATCGCCCCTCAGCCTTCTCTTGTGGAGGCTGAACAGGTTCAGGTCCCATAGCCTCTCCTCGTAGGGCCTGCCCTGCTGCCCCCTGATCATGCGAGTGGCCCTCCTCTGGACCCTCTCCATGTTGTCCACGTCCCTTCTGAAGTGCGGCACCCAGAACTGAACGCAGTGCTCCAATTGTGGCCTGACCAGTGTCGCATAGATGGGGAGGATCACCTCCTTGGACCTGCTTGAGATGCATCTGTGGATGTGTGACAAGGTATGGTTGGCCTTCCTGACCGCGTCCCCACACTGTCGGCCCACGTTCATTTTGGCATCAATAATGACTCCAAGCTCCTTTTCTGCCTGTGCACTGATAAGAGGGGAGTTCCCTAGCCTGTAGGCATGCTGCTGGTTCTTCCTCCCCAGGTGCAGTACTTTGCACTTGTCAGTGTTGAAACCCATCCTGTTCTCATACATCCACCCCTGTAACCTGTCTAGGTCTGATTGCAGCCTGTTCTCCCTTCTAGCATATTATGGAGAAGAGGATTATAAATAGTACATTTTAAAAAGTTGAGATTTGGTATTTTATTTTTCAGCCATAATTTACAGAAAAATGGTGTTGCTGGGTGCTTTGAATTCTCAGTCAGTATGGTTTGAAATGCTTTGTTTCACGGTTGCGTCTTCCTTGCAGAAATTGGCTTGTCTTGAAAACTAAAATCATGGCTGCTGCCATTTTTTTTCACCAGCACTATGCTTCTGTTTGCATAGTTTGGTTGGAATAATTACTTAGGCCCAGCTATGTAAGCCAGTAGCAAACATCTAATTATTTTGGTTCTAGTCCTGTATATGAGCGAACTTGAGAACAGTTGAGTTAAATCTTTGTAAATCTGCAAGACTGATACCTTAATACCCAAATTTACAACTTGTTGACTGCCACCTTCTATGGTTTGCATGCTCTGCTCTCACTTACTTCTCTTGAAGTGGAGGCAATTGGTATCTTGCCCAGTTGGAGCTGGAGCAGGTCCTTTTACTTGGTGATGGTAAATGCATGTCTTCTCTCCCCTTTTAAATTAATTTTCTCCTTGGTTTCTCTCCAAAAATATAGCTGAGCAGAATTAGCTCTCTAACCTATTGATAAATATGTAATTGCTTTATAAAATAATTTTAAGAAATATGAAGCGAGTGAGTAGTTTTTCAAAACGTTTTGCTTAATTGAACTGGAGTTGTTTGAGAAGTGTTGATAGGAAAATCAGATAAGAACTAGAAGGGTTTTTACATATGAGGTGAAAATTAAAATTAATCATGAAACATTTAAAAATCTTTTCCTGTTAAATTCCTTAAATAGCCACTGCTGAACCTAATGTTCTTTGTTACTTTAGGCATACAAGTTGGTGAAACAACACCTGATAAACTTTTCACATTAGTGGAAGTGGAATGTTTGGGTGCTTGTGTGAATGCACCAATGGTACAAATAAATGATAATTATTATGTAAGTATTTCATTCTGTTTAAAAATGCACGATAGTTTAACTTGAATGCTGTTCATGCTATATATATAATTTGTATTATCTTAGATTACAAAATTTCAGCAGCTCAGGTAATTATCAAGTACTAATTGACTTACAAATTTTATAGGTTGTCTTTCTGCTGTGTGAAAGATCGTCTTCAAAACTATTTTAGAACTGCACTACCCTGTGCTTAATGTTGAATGTACCAAGAAGATGTTTTTAACTTTCTGGAAGCTAAAGCAGTGAATCTCAAGCTTGAGATCCTTTCAAAGGGGCTGCAGGATGCCATGCAGTGTTAGGATTATTAAGTGCACTAATAGGATTCTCAAGATAAACCAAGAGATGTGAAATATGATTTTTTTAGTGTTAAAAACATTGACCTGTTAAGGGCCCTTATGAGTTGTTTTTAGTGGAAGAATGTCTCTTATCTTTCTGTAGACAAAAAAAAACCCTGTGAAAATTAAGAACTGTTATTTTGGAGGGGGTGCTTTGAGCCCAAAAAAGTTGAGAACCACTGAGCTAAAGTATCTTGTAGTTTCTTTATCTACAACAGACTACACATCATTTTGTACATTGTGATAAAGCATTCTAAGGGGACCAGTAGGAGCTTTTTTAATGTTCACATTTTTATAATAGGATCACAAACAAAGGTACTTGTATATAGTTTTTTAGTGTGGTATGAATGTGTGCACTCTCAGAGATTTGGAGAAGTTGAGAGATTTAATTCTGTAGATCAGGCATGTCCTAGATAAAGTCTACTGTACAAAACCAAATTTGGGTGAAGTTAGGAATATTTTAAATAAGAATGTCAAATTACTGAATTGGGTTTGGGCTTAACATGGAATCAAATGCCTACTGCACTCAGATGGCTTTATTTCAGAAAAAAGTAAGTCTCTTGGCTTCAATGGAGAATTGTCAATGAAAATTAGGAAGTTTTCCCATCAGAGCTGACATTTAGGCAAACCACTTTTAAAAATATCCATTTTGATAGGAGACTGCTCCATCTGTGGAGGGGAAGGTGGGAGTAGGGGAGGTAAGGGGCATGGTGGGGGGCAGATCAAGGCCCACGGTGAATGAGATCCCCACTGGAAGCGGGATGGAGCTGTGGACAGCTTGTCTGGGGGTTGGGATGGGGACGTGGAGGCTGGGGGGGGGGCAGCTCCCTACTGCTGCGTGCAACCCCAGGGGTGCCCCCTGGCTTTGAGTGGGGTGAGGGCAGGCTGTGGGCTGAGAGCAGCACCAGCCTCTTCCTGGTGGTGAGACTGGGCTGGGGCTGCACTGAGTCGGGGGGGGAGGGGGGCAGTTGGTGACAGTACTGGCAGTGGGAGCGGTGGCGATGGGGTGGACTAGAGCCACCCCAAAATTACTTGTAGCCGCTCCTTCAAGTGCCACCACCACCTGCCCCAATGGAAGATAATACTGTTGTGTCCCCATTGTCTTTAATGTTTGAATAAATTTATTCTTAATAGGCTTTGCAAAAAATAGTAATTACTTAAAAAAAACTAAATATTACAAAACTAGGAAGTTAAAAACTGAAATTGCAAACTAATTGCATGAATGAGGTAAGGGTAATACTCCTGAAACAAATGTTTGAGAACAAACCATGTCAGTGCAGGACACTCAGGCAGCCACAACTCTGTTGTACTGTGGAAAGCTTCCAGTCTTAAATATTAAGTTTTCTGAATCAAGGTTGACCAGGGCCATTTTGAGGTTGCAGCCAGATGGCAGTAATTTTACAGGTTCATGGATTTCTACACTTCCTAGTTTAATTTGGGAATAAACAGACATCAGGCATTGCTTTTAGATATCAAATGTATAATTATGAAGCCATTTTTGGATGTAAAGCTATTCACTAATCTAACTCATGTTCTTGGCACAAGTGCTGTAATTTCATGCTATGTAATGGTGCATAGAATTTTTAGTATTACCTCTACTACTTTATTTAAGCAGGAAATTATAAAGTACTTATTTTGTGGCTGTTTAAAGATTATAGAAAAATAAGAACCATTGCATCTGGTTTCCATTTAAGGACTTCAGTGTTAGTCAGTGGTGATTGATAAAATGATGTGGCTGGATAGGATAGGCTCAGTAGCAGAAGTGAAGTTGTTTGGATTACTGTAATGGAAATGTTTTTCAGATATTTCATGATGTGTATGTTTAAACATTCTTGTAAGATGCATGTAACTTTAAATCTGGGAAAGAGGGGGATCTAATTCCACTGGTACATTCCTCCTCAGTAAATGTGCAGAGCATGACTTGCTCATCACAGATACTATCTTTAGACAGTGCGACAAATATAAGACCATTTGGAAACACTCATGCTCCAATCACTGGCACCTTCTTGATTATATTGTCAGAGCCCGTGATTGTACTGATGTCCGTATCACCCGAGCCCTGAGAGGTACAGATGACTGTTGGATGGACCACCGTTTAGCCAGATCAATCATGGATATGCAGTTTCCTTCATAACACCATAAACAATGGAAAGGAATGAAGAAGTGATTTAACATCAAGGCACTCCCAAAACCAAGCTAGACAGGAGGCTTCTCAGCAGTGCCTTACTAAGAGACTCTCTGACCTACCTGATGACAATATCAAGGACATCCAGGCACATCGGAACTTAAGAATGCTATTCACAAGGCATGCACTGAATCTAGGGGTGCACCGATAAAGATTTTCTGCCCCCCGCTCCCCCCGAGGCTTGTTTGTGGGGTAAAGGCAGGCTGCCCACTGCAGGCGGGGCAGGGGCAGTGCCAACCAGCAAAAATGAGTCTTACCACCAGCCCAAATCTGTAGTTCAGAAGAGGCTATGGGGCATCAAGAACCAGTGGTGCCGCAAGCAAAGGCTATGGAGATCCAGAATTTCGCTGATCAACATGACATGAGAAGCTTCTTTCAAGCAATAAAAGGCATCCATGGGCCACATTCCAATGGCTCCACCCTTCTCATGGACAGTGTATCTATCAAACAACACTGGAAGGAGCACTTCAAGATTCTACTCAACCATGAATTTGAGGTTTCAGCTGCCATTTGAGTCCAGCCCTTGACACCTAGTAAGAGAATATCTTGCTGGTCCCCCATCCTTCAAGCAAGTCTGGCATGCCATCATTCAGACCAAGAACAATAAGGTGCCAGGCCCAGATGGCATTCCTGCACTTGTCTTCAAAGCTGGTGGAACATCACTAGCGTAAAAGCTTCACCAAATTCTCATCAAAATATGGGTTAACCAGGAATCTCCACTTGACTGAAAGAATGCCAACATTGTGACCATCTTCAAGAAATGAGAAGTCAGTGTGGGAACTACCAAGGCGTTGCTCTCCTCTCTGTTGCTGGGAAGTTTCTTACTTGCATCCTTCCGAATCACCTCCTCCCCTTTGCCGAAGATGTCCTCCCAGAATCCTAGACTGGCTTTAGACCAACTTGGGGTACCAACATGATTTTTGTTGCCTGACCGACTCAGGAGAAGCGCAGAGAACAACACCAGGAGTTGTTTATGGCATTCATAGACCTAACCAAGGCCTTTGACTCCATAGGTGTTAGCTAGGTTTGGTTGTCCACTGAAGTTCATCAGTGTCCTCAGGTTACTCCATGATGGTGTCAAGCAGGGCTGTGTCATCACCCCAGCCCTTTTTTCTATCTGTCTTGCTGTGATTTATTTCTTATCCATGACCACCTTCCTCCTGGAATTGGGGTTGAGCATTGAATGGATGGTCAGCTTTTCAACCTGTGGCACCTTCATAGCAAAATGGAAATTACCAAGGTTGGCATCATTGACCTTCAGTATCCTGATTACTAGGGGTGCACTGATAAAGATTTTCTTTGCTGATACCAATAGCAGATTATTCATCAGGCATATCAGCTGACATTGGTTGTATAACCGATTTACAGGAATGCAGCTAGGCATCATGGAGAGCAGTGCCCTGCAGGTAAGTCTTTGGAAGGGAACAGGCATGGGGGAGGGAAGTGGGTGGGGAGGGGTAGATCAAGGTCCCCATGGTGAGAGAGGGAGTTGGGCAGGGGCTGGGGGCACTGTCCAGCCAGGGTGGTGAATGGAACCCGAGGCTGGGGTGGGGAGTGGGACAGAGTCCAGGGGATCAGCGTCTCTGTGCTTAAAAATGGCAGGGCGCTTGAACAAAAGTTTGTCAAATGAGGTTTGGTTTAAGTGCCACTGCCACAATTTTTAAGGGAAGGGATGCTTCTAACTGGAGCAGGGTGAGGGTAGATGTGGGCTGCCTGCTGTGGGCTTGGGGCTTTCCCCTTTGCTGCCTCTGCCTCAGGTTCTGCATTGGCTGTGTGACCCCTGCCTGACCAGCAGTGGGGAGCACAACTTGCTGCCTCCACTGCTGCTGGGTGGGCAGGGGTTGTGCTGCCAGCATGGGACCCCCCAGGGCAAAGGCAGCAGAGTGGAGAACCCCAAGTCCACAGCAAGCAGTCCTGTGCACAGATTTGGAGAGGCATATGCCCCCCCATGTCTGCCCCCAGCAGAGGTGTGCATGCAGTGGTGGGGAGCTGACCCCCTCTCCCCAACTTTCCCCCCTATGGCCCCTGGACAAGCTGCCTATGACTCCATTCTGCTTCCTGCCCCAGGTCCCATTCACCGCCCTGGCCGGGCAGCTGCTCAAGCTCCATGTTCCATTCCCTCCCTCACCATGGGGGCCTCAATCTGCACCCCCCCATACTCCTTCCCCTCCACAGACTTATCTGCAGGGTGCTGCTCTCCACACTATCAAGCTGCATTTCTGGCCACATGCACGCATGCAGCTGGGCATCCGGAGCCCCGGCCAGATAGCATATTATATGTCTTGGTGACATTATTGGCTACATCGGCCAAAAAAAGCTGACAGCCAATAATGTTAATTTTCCTTTTATCAGTGCCAATCCAATATGGTATTGATATATCGGTGCACCTCTCCTGACTACTGTTATCCTTGAGCACACTGAGACCAATCTGCTGTCCACCCATTACCTTTTTTCAGGTGCCT